CTGCGTGAGTCTGTGGGCCTCTGCGTGAGTCTCTGGGTCTCTGCGTGAGTCTCTGGGTCTCTGCGTGAGTCTCTGGATCTCAGCGTGAGTCTGTGGATCTCTGCGTGAGTCTGGCTCTCTGCATGAGTCCTGCAGCTGCCTTAACTCAATATTTTATTTTGGTCTAAAACAAGGCTGGTTGTGCACTACGTACTCAGTATGGTGATGTCATATGACATGGTGGGTGGGCATTTTTTGCCTGGGACGCACCATCGTCATTGTAGCCATCATCAGCATGACCAATCCATCTGCTGGATGAAGGGCTCCGCATGCCATCCTTCCCAGCACCCTATGCACGAGCCGATTTCATAATTTCCCGTCAAGATCGCTCCATCTCCCACAGCTCTCATCGAAATATAAATATATATATTTTTTTTTTAAGTCTTTCTTTTCCGTAATCTAAATTGGCGATGGTGCTGTCGGCGCCGCGTCGCGGGTGGAAACGCTCACAATAGGCAGCGCAGGTCCCCCCTCCGTGTTGGAACACGGTCCCTGGAAAGGAGATATCACAGAGCCACTTCTGAGGTTCATTAAAGTGGTGACCTCATATCCACACTGTACTTTCCAACGTGCCTCACTGCAGAGAAATTTCCATAACTGAATTTTGTTACTTTTCACACTCCAATTTTTTGCCAATTTAAGTGACAGACCTAATGCGTTTTTTTTTATTATGTGTCTGTGCATTCATTGGGAACCAGTCTCACTACACCCTTGGTAAAATCCCAGTTTGATCCCCAGATTCAAATCCCAAACACCCCCCCCCCCTGGATTACCAGCCAAGGGATATCAACGATGCCGGGGTCAGTTTCCCCAAACTCTCAGCAACCCAACAGCGTGTAAAGATCGGTTTAAACACGGATTTCAACCCGCGGTGTTTCACTCTCGATCGATGGGTTTTATCATTATTGATGGCAAGGCATGTCAAGATGTTTCAATGCACGCCACGATTCCGCTCACAAGAGCAAAATGCGATCAACGTTTTTCGCTGACGAGCGTTGCGATCGATATTCTCGGCTGACGTCAGTTCAATAGGCAGAACACTTCTTCTCCTTTTAATTAATTACCGCCCGACTATTGATTGTGGGATTATCGCTCGTTAATGATTAATACCCACTCAGATCGTGCAGCAGCAGCAGCATCAGTGTGCTACTCTTAATTGGAAGATTGCGTTCAAATCCATCTCGGAAGGTAGGGGTGGTGGTGGTGGTGGTGGAAGTTGAAAGACCCTGAGCGGGCACTGCTGAGATGTTAGGTTCTAATCTGGGTTTCAGCAGCTGCTTGCGATTAAACCGGTTTCGCAAGTGATGTGAATTGGTGATCTAAACCCTGTCTTCAGTGACTTGCATAGAGACCCGTAGACTGACTTAGAGACCTGTAGACTCACATAGAGACCCTGTAACTGAGTTGTGTTTAAAACCGGGTTCTCAAGTGCAGTGAGTTGATGGTCGCAACCCAGCAGACACCAGTGATTGCTTTTTTTTCTAGACCTCTGTCATATTAAAGATGGTTTTACATCATTTTTTTTTATTGTCTTGACTTATTTTTAAAAACATTTCAGAAGTAGTTCTGTGATATCCACTTTCTCTGCGAGTGTTCCAATTGGATTATTCGCTGCATGATACGGTTCCGACACCACAATTGCGATCGCCGGCTGCCATCTCCCCACACTGGAAGAACTACACAGTTCGCGTTGCATCAAAAAAGCACAGAACATTATAAAGGACTCTTCTCACCCTGGACACTCACTGTTTGAGCTGTTGCCATCAGGCAGTCGATTCAGATCAGTCAAAACAAGGACAAACAGATTCAAACAGAGCTTTTATCCTACAGCGATCACCACACTCAATAATGCTAATTAATTATTAAGTAATAGCGTTTACAATTGACTGTGAAATAGAGATGTGCAATGACAAAATGTAACATTATGTGGGTATGTGGGTATACTTGGGCTGTTTTTATATATAGTATAAATTGATTATCTTTCATTTAATTTTATTTTTATTTTCTTGTTTTATTTAATTTAAATTTATGAATGAGGCCCTGACTGGTGAGCATTTTAAATTTCGTTGTACTGGTGACAATGGCAATAAACGATCTATCTAAATTCAGAAAAATACAAAAATATTTTGTTTTCCTTTTCTCCATGGGAGTTGAATCGGCCCTTAATCTCTCTGGGGGTCGATGAACGATGAAATGAGAACCACTTTGTGAGATGTCAACAGTTTTTAAACTTTGGATGTACATTCGTCCCAACCATAATAACATGGAATTTCCACCACTAGCTTTTATGGCTCGAAATAAAAGATGAGCATAGCCACATAATCTGACTTTTATTCTGGCCCGGGCCACTACCAGTGGTGAGTGATATCTGAACCGGTCCTGCTGTCACCAACCTGCATTGACCAGCCTGGTAAAGTTCGGTCAAACAGACCCAATGACCGTAACACAGAATGATCAGGCTTTCATCCAGCAGTGGATTAACTAAGGGCTGTGTATCATCCTGTAATGTTGCTAGATTAACACTACATGCGATTCGGGCAAGACTTGTGGTTTAGCGGCGTTGTTTAACAACCCCTTAGTGAACTAACCTTGCTTCCACCCTCTGTCTCCCTGCCGCCCTCCCCACCAATCTCACACTGATCCAGCCTCCAACGGCGACCGCCTTCGCGCGACTCCTCACCCCCTTCCCTGCGCCCCGCAGCGACCGGCGCGATTAGCACAGTGTGTGCCGTCATCGGCTAAAACGATGGCGCAATATGAAAGATTAGAGCCGCCGCCTGCCCCGTAACTTGGGTGATGTGTGCCAGCCCATGAGTCCGACCTCTGTGAGGGGTAACCTGCAAGGGGCGACCAGGATTGAGCTGTGAGTCGGGGTCATGTTAATGGCATCTGTGTAGGGGCATTCGTGGTTGCGCTGTGTAACTCCCCGACTTGTTTTGGGGTTGTACCGCGCGGCGTTCGTCACGACGTCTGACGTTTCGCGCCACGTGCCGGGAGATTTTTCGGGAACTGATTGTAATTAAAATGTGTTTTTTTATCACGGTTCCTGAGCGCCGGCTCAAAGGCCCGTAACGCCACGCGGACCATAACAAATGGCATAATTCAAGTTTGTAATAGATGAGAGTTAACTCGCTTCTTGAATTGAGAAAGATTCTGAGAGTTTGAGAAAAGAGACGATGGGTTGGTGATTCTCAGGAGGCGATGTAGCTCTCGATCTCTCCGAGGTCCATAGAAAATGCGTACCCACTTTGCGTGGCATGTCAACCGTTAGACTTTGAATTGGGCTCCACCCCCCCACCATTGGATCGTGGAATTTCCACCACTCACCATGGTCCCGGTGCTGTAACCAAACAGAGCACCGGCGCCGTGGCTAAACTCAGTTCCTGCCGTAGCTCCCCCGACACGTGGAAAGCGCGGCGCTGGGATGACGTGCCGAACGGCGCGTGGCGGTGGGGCACAGTCCGAAAAACCGCGCGTCAGCGAGCGAATGTCTTGGGGCAGGCCCGTTACCGCCTGACCTCAAACGTTACGGCCAACGGGCTCGAATTGATGACCAAACGCTCGCGGCAAACGCGGGGGGGGGGGGGGGGCGGGGAAGCACCTTAGTTTATTTCAAATTGTTTAGATCTGCGGTGGTTAGGGTTCGGGGGGAGATATACGAATAGTTCCCAGGCAGCTAGTCTCGCGTAAATGTATTCAGGTCCCCCTTCTTGGTTCTTTCGGTAAAGTCACGTAGAAGGGAAATAATAAAATATAAAAAATTCAACATAATTAAATAATTCTCACGACGTTTCGGCCACAAGGCAAGCAGCCGTCCTCAGGTGAAGACCAGGTCTGTCGGGGAGACAGCGTCTGACCTGGTCTTCACCTGAGGACGGCTGCTTGCGTTGTGGCCTAAACGTCGTGAGAATTATTTTATTATGTTTTATTTTATTATTTCCCTTCTACGTGATTTTACCGAAAGAACCAAGAAGATGAATCCCTGCAGTCACGAAAGCTTTACATCGAAATTTATTCAGGTCCCGTCGTAATAACCCCAATTGCGTGTAACACTCCGGCGTGCCGTGTGGAGTGTTTGGTTTTTTTGGGTCTGGAGCAACACAAACGAGACGTGAAACCCATCGCGATGATTTGGCTCGCCGGTGGCTTCTGCCGCATATGTTGATTGTGAGCAGCACACGTAAACCCGGCTCAATTTCAATGATTTTAATGTGATTTTCTTTTTTCTGTTCCTCCTCTCTCCTCTTTCCGTGTGCCCACACTTTTTTTGTTGCATTCACGTTTATTTATTTTACCTCCGTTTTTCTTCCTCCCGACTATTTTTTTGCACGGCTGCTCTTCACGCGTCTGCATTAACCACGCATTTTGCTCCCCCCCCCCATTCCCCCTTGGAAACCGCTCATCCAACCTTCCTCTTCTCTGCGGCGCCACCCCTCTGCATCCCCCACCCCCCGCGATTGTCTGCAAACCCACGCGCCCACGTCATTCAACTGACTCTCGTTAACATTTTATCTCTGCTACTCTGTTGAATCTGCCATTGTGTGTCACGCGTGGATTGCTTGGGTACCCATATCCACACCCCCCCCCACTGCCCCCGTTCCGTGTGTCTTGGCGTGCCTGTCCGCGCGCTTGCTTTGCCGCATTCTTGCACGCGTGCGTTTGTGCGTGCGCCTCAATCTTACACACACGTGCGTGCTGGCATGCGCGTGCACGTGTGTGCACTTGCCCCTCGCGCGTTCATCTGTCCCCATGCGTGCGTGAATCCATCGCCCTGTGCGCCTGCTTGAACGAATGCACGTGTGCGTCTGTGCGCGTGCCTGTATGCGTGCGTTCGTTCTTCCTTGTCGCCTGCGTCCATCCCCTCCCCCACTCCACGCATACGTGCGTGCGTGTGTGTGTGCGCGCGCACCCGCGTGCCCGCGCACGTCCGCACGTGCGCTGCGCATGATTTAACGGGCCAGTGTTCCCGGTGTGCCCTCGCTCAGCCTTTGCAAGCCCCGCGCTGACCCCCACACACAGCAAGCAGCAGCACCGACACCGCAGCCGCAGCCAGGAGCGCCGGTTCAAGCCGTTCAGCACGCCGTCGCCGCTGGTGAGGCACGCGCGGGCGACCCGGGCGGGCGCCGGACCGGCGTCGTCCGATCGTCGACCGCTCTTAAAAACGATGGCGGCGCTCTTGACAGACGGACGAGTTGGGGGAGTGATGGGGGGGGGGGAGGGGGGGCACCGGCCTGGGTTACTATGTAACGAGCTGGCAACAGGTTGGCAGGCGTCGCGCACGGGCAGTAAATGTGTAATGATTTTCCACGTGCCGTTGTTAGGACCATGACGTGGCCCAACCTAAAGAATCAACTGTGAATAATGAAACCGCCCTGTCCGTCGTACCGACTGGTACCGACCGGGCGACAGGATTGGTGGCGCGGTGGTGACGCTCGCGCCTCGCAGCTTGTAGGGCCTGGGTTTGAGTCCCGCCTTGGGGATGCCCTTCCATGTGCAGTTTACAACTTTTCTGGAAAAAGAGTCCTTGGACTCAGTGCGGCTCTCCTGGAATAAATAAGTGATTATTACGATGATGATTATTATTCTGCTATGATGATTTAAAACACAAGACGAGGATTGACTGTGGCCCCGCGTGTTTCCCGTGCAGGTGGAGCGGTTAAAGAAAGAAAAGCGGATCTCGTCTCCAGGCGCGGGGCTCAGCGCCTCGCCGATTCTGCGCCCTCCCCGGCGTTCCGAGCCCCCTCCCAGGTCCTCTCCCCCCCCTCCTCGGTAGTGCCCTCATCCCCTCTCTCACCCTCCCTCTACAGTCCTCGTCGTTGTAATCGTTATCATCATCGGCAACACATTTCCTAGCTACTGATAGAATTCTACGGTTACCGCAAAACGTGTGTTCTCGTAGACGATGCGACGATCCCGTGTTTGTGCGTTGGGTTAGGTCACGTGGCGCTAGCTTCATGTCGTCGTTAACCCACCGCCACCACCCGACCAGACTGCCCCGTTCACACGGGATTTTTGCACGGGCGATTTTTGTACGCGCGACCAATGCAATCGTCAAAAGTGTGTGACCCTCCTCCGCCTCCTCTTCCCCAACCGGTGCGTTGAGACTTTTCACGAACGAGTCCAACGTCGACGCCGCCACGACGTGTTACGGTCGGGTCGGTCGACGGTCCGGCACTCACCGATTCGTCCCTCCCCGCTCCACCGGCAGTCGGTCACCTCCGCATCACCCTCCCGGGGTGACTCGACATGGCCCCCCGGACGCCGGCACATTCGCCGCCTGTCGCAGGGGTTTTCGCGGTCTCGAATCCAGCTGGCCCGCCCCGGTTATATTACCGTGGGCGTGTTAAACCTCGACAGACGTTCACAGTCGCCCATGCCTGCGTCACGGTCCGAATCTGCCAAATTTGACAACGTTGCACAACGCAAATGGCTCGATCGGGATCACACGCAGCAACACATCGCCCCCGGCCGCTAAACTACTTGCACGCCGCGTCTTTAAAACTTAGCTCCTTCCTTCACGGTCATCCCCGCACTGTAAGAAACACGCGCGAATACCAAATGTGCTGGGTTACCATCGGCGCCGCGTCTGCTCGCCGCAGGTCCAGCCCGCAGGCCGGCGGCACCACCACGCCCGTGACGTCAGGCAAGACCTCGGGGCCCTTGAGAGCCAACCACCCGTCGCCAGCCGCCACCGCCGCCTTCGTGTCCTCCAAGCCACCGTCAGGGCCGCAAACACCGCGGCCCCGTGTCGACAGGAAGGACGTGAAGGAAGCGAAAGAAGCGAAGGAAGGGAAGGAAGGAAGGAAGGGAAGGACGCGAAAGAGAAGAAGGAGACGAAGGACAGGAAGGAGACGAAGGCCGAGAAGGAGCGAGTGAATGCCGCCACCGCCAAGGACGAGAAGAGGCCGGCCATTGCCAAGAAGCCCAAGTTGTCATCCCCCCCAGCGGCGGGGTCGAAGGTCGCCACGCCCAATGTGGCCGCGCCTGTGTCGCCGCTGCCGCTGCCGCCGCCGTCTTCACCACAGGCCGCCGGCGGGTACCGCGAGAAAGCGGCGGTGACGCCCGCGCCGGCGACGGAGCGACGAGGCGCCGATGGGGCACCGGCGGAAGTGGATGAAGCGCCGGCGGCGGTGGCGGCGGCACCAGCGCCGGTGCCGGTGGTGGAGGAGAAGGAGGAGGAGAAGCCGGGTGCCGAGAGAGTACGAGGAGAGATGATGCGTATGCCCACCATCGTCGGTACGCGCACCGTGTTTTTTTTTATTTATTACATTACATTTAAAAATGTATTTTTTTTGGGCAAAACCGCACGGCGCCCATCGCTGCCGACAAGGCAGACTTCTGTGTTGAATTGCGGCCCCTTCCTTCGTGATGAGCCTTGCTCTGTGGGAATGGCACAAATGCCAAGTTGACTTAGCACTGTAAACCAGCCGGCCAGGTGGCTCTGCAGGAGAGCGAAGCGGCTTGCAATTTAAAGGTTGCGACGAGTTTCTGACTGGGGGTTGACTCGGCCCCATCGTCACTCATCCCCCGGGGGTCGATAAAATGAGTAGAACTTTGCCGGGAAGTCAACAGTGGTTTGCGCAATGGGAGTCTTGCCGCTGTCATAGGAACGTGGAATTTTCACCACTAGCTCAGGGGCTGTAAGCAAGTGACGAGGACTGCCGCGGTGCCAATTTGAGCAGCAAGAAATCACTCGTGACATTTTCTCTTTTTAATTAGACAGCCCTTCCTACAGGCGGGGTTGATGTGACACTCCCATGACACTCACCTGGCCTTAAATGATTCACCACTTTCCCACCTGACTCTCACCAGTCATAGACTCGCCTGATTCTCACCGCTCACCAGTTCACGCAATCCTAGTGGGCAGCTTGTGTCCTCCAAAAGGAGCCACATGACAGGACTCGGAGAGGTTTTCACGTGTCAAATATTTGTTGCTCGTTGTCCTCCCACAGTCTGAATCTCACTTCCCCCAGACATCCATGCTGTCGACTCCCTGCCCACCTGTTCAAGTCCAGGCTCGAGACCCCTTCCCCATCTCCTCTGACCAAGACTGACTGACTGCCTCTCTCTCTCTCGCTGTCCCTCGCTCTTTCTAATTAATTTGCTCGCTCTTTCTGTACAGCGTGGTCCAGAGTAGAGTCCATTAAAGGGTTTCTGCAATTGTTATACATTTTTCCCTGCGTTGCTGTGTTTTTCTGCAGTTGGGAACAAAAAAAAAACGCGGATGAACCATTTCAGAATCGCTATCTATTACTTGACGAGTCCGAAGAGCTACGATGCTCTTTTTCACACACATCCAGTAGTTTCGCAGATGTCCAGTAGATTTACCAGTTACCGTGCCTAACGTGCCGACCTCACCCCTCTTTTCCCACAGTGGAAGAGGCCCCTCCTGTGGTCGACAGTGACGAATCGGAAGAGCCCTCGGCTACCGGGTGGTTTGACGAGACCGCCGCCGCCGGCACCAAACCCCCCACCGTCTCCTCTCAAGAGGCGCCGGCGGGCGGTAAAGGGCAAGGAGACCAAAGCCCTGTCGACGGCAAACCGTCGCCCAAAGAGCAACCCGCCGACGACGTCGCCAAATCGGCCGAGACGACGGGGCCCGCCGAAAACTGCGCGGCCGGCGGAGGCGGAGGCGGCGGTGGCGGCAACCGCGACGGCAGGCTGTGGCGGTGGCGGCAACCGCGACGGCCACCGCGGTGACCAAGACTCCCAAAAAGTCCGGAGCGGCGGAGGGCGATGCGGCACGGCCGAGCGCGGCCACGGAGGAGGCCACGACGCGGACGCCGGGCGGCGGGAAGGGTCGCTCGGACGAGGCCAAGGCGTCGTCGTCGGGCGGCGGCGGCGGTGGCGGCGGTGGGAAGGGTCTCGCAGGGAGCACCAACGCGGAGGACGCGACACGGGCCCTGGCCGAGAAGCGCAAGCTGGCGCGCGAGCAGCGCGAGAAGGAGGAGCAGGAGCGCATCGCTCACGCCGAAGCCGAGAAGTGACGACCGCACGATTGCTCGCTCGCACTCGCTCACGTGCTCTTACGCACTCGCATAAGTTCAACACTCGCCCACGTAAATGCAGATGTCCCGGTCTACGGACGTTGGCATTTAACGGCGCCCCCCTCCCTCCGCTCTCGGCAGGCGCATGAAGGAGGAGATCGCTCGCCGCAAGGCGGAGGAGAGGGCACGGCGTGAGGAGGAGGCGCGTCGGCTGGAGGAGGAGCGCCGGGTGCAGGAGGAGGAGGAGCGGCGGCGAGCGGAGGAGGACCGCGAGAGGCGGGAGATTGAGGAGCGGGAGCGGCAGGTGGAGATACAGAAGCAGGTGCGCGTCCGTGCCCGATACGCACGTCACTCGCGTGTTTCTGTGCGTCCGTATGCATGTGTGCGTGTGTGGGGAGCGGTGACGCAGTAGCTAGCGTGCTGCGCTACGGATCCCTGATGACCCATATTTACTTCCCACTCACGGCCAACATGAGTGGACGAATAGCCGAACTGGTCCTGCTCCTCTTGTAGGTCAACTCTGGTGCTGTGTGGAATGAACATCGCGACCGAGGAGACAAAGGTGGCTGGGCGTGCTACTGGCCACCGACCCCCTCGTGTGCCTTGCTGCCCTTAATAGGTGCTTCTCACTAACGGCGCTTGCCCCACCAGTCTGTAACGGCTACGCGGGGGATCTTTGTGTGTGCGTGCGACAGAGGGAGGAGGCAGAGGTGCGGGCGAGGGAGGAGGCTGAGAAGCAGCGCGTGGAGCGCGCTCGCCAGGCTCACAAAGAGGAGCAGGAGCGGCTCGAGAGGAAAAAGGTGCCGCCTGCTCGCTCCACGCACCTCTCCGACTTGCAGCAACTCGCCCCTCTCCACTCCCCTCCACGTGCTGTCCTACCTCTCAACTCTCATCTCAGTCCACTCCCCATAACACACTCTCCCACCTCTCCCCTCTCATCTCACTCCACTCCCCATAACGCACTCTCCTACCTCTCCCCACTCATCTCACTCTACTCCCCTCCACAGCACTCTCCTACCTCTCCCCTCTCATCTCAATCCACTCCCCTCCACGCACTCTCCTACCTCTCCCCTCTCATCTCACTCCACTCCCCTCCACGCACTCTCCCACCTCTCCCCTCTCATCTCACTCCCCTCCCCATAACGCACTCCCCCACCTCTCCCCTCTCATCTCAATCCCACTCCCATCCATGCACTCTCCTACCTCTCAATTCACTCTACTCCCCACAACGCACTCTCCCACTAATTTCGACGAAAGCTTTTACAAATCTGAATCGCCCATAGCATTTGCCACGACAACCCTTCCCATGTATCCACTTTGAATCGTAGCTTTCTTAGCGTTCACCAGTTGTTCACTAAGCCTTGCGTCGTGTCTCTCTGTCTGCAGCGTTTGGAGCAAATTATGAAGCGGACAAGGAAATCGGAACCCAACAAGGAGGTACATCTGGGGCGAGGGGCACGGGGGGCGTGGAAATGAAAACTACCTTTGGCTCTGTAACAATTCAGTCCCGTGGGTGTAGGGATATAGGCGTGCAACGATGCTGCAATTGATGTTGTTGGTGCTGTTGCTGATGCCTGTATGGTGCTGATGATGATGATGGTGATTGTGGTGGTGATGGTAATGCCAGTACTCACGATGCGCATGATGTTGACAACGCCAGGCCCTGACTGTGCGGTCGCGTGCGTTTGTGCCGAGTGCGTTTGAGCAGAAAGAGGGGAAGGATATTGAGGATGCTCCAGATCAGCAGAGCAACGGTGACACGGGAGACTCGCCAGGTAAAGTCTGCAAGCATAAACTAAACTTTTTTAATTTACCAAGTAAGGCCCACTGAGCTATATAGCTAGCTCTCTTTCAGGCGTGACCCGGCGACAAATGATCGATCGACAAATTGCATAGCAACCAAATACTCTCAATGTATGTTGATTATAAATGTGGAGGGTAAAAGCGGAGGACCCAGAGAAAAATCCACGTGAACTATTTGTCTTTTGTCAACGTGACACTTTTTTGCTGATTTGCCGTGTCGGGTGGTGGAGGGTCACGACACATTTATAAATAACGCGATCTAACCCAAAAACGTTTATTATGAACTGAGCAGGCCTATTACAGAGCCACCTCTTCCGTGCCATCGGTGATGTGTCGCCGATTCAGCATGGTGAACTGGGTATCATCTTCTACCCTTTGTTTGCCTCTAATTTACTGAACTGGTCGTAATTATCATTCATAATTAGCTACTTTTGGGTTGGATCACCGTGAAGATAATTTGCACATTTTCAACAATAACCCTCCTAACTATCCAACAATTGAATCTAGTTTTCACATCGTTGGCAAGAGTGTCGATCTCGCGAATGCGTCTCCTACCCCTGTCGTCCTCCACGCTTGAGCGCCTCGCCGTGTTCAAACGACGGGGAAGTTGCTGCGGTCGACTGCGTAGACGCGCCGGCTAAAACGGAGGCCGTGGCACGTGCGGTGCCGGTGGGGTGACCGCGTTTGCAGGGCTCCTGAGCTTGAACGGACAGACGCATGCGCGGGAGGCGCCCACCGGGAACGGCAGCGCGGCAGTCGGAAGCCTGACCACGGAGGGGAGGTGAGGCCACGCACCGACCGAGCGGGGCGTGCGCGGCTCTATGAATCATTCGTGCACGCGGCTCCCTGAATGTATCGCACGCCTGGCTGTGTATGAGTCGGACACGCGCCTCGATTAATGACCCACGGACACGCGGCTCAATTAACGGATCACACAGCTCTGCCACACGGTTATTCAAGGGGAAATTATTCGTTTTTAAGTTGGATCTTCCCACCCACCCTGTGACGCGTGCATACCTGCCCCTTCGCCCCCCACACTTCTGCCACCCCCCCCCCTGCACCACCCCGTATCTCTCTCTTGTCCTCTTTCCCTCTCCGCCCCCCACACTCCCGCTCTCTCGCCCTCCCTCTCCAGCAACGGGCGAGACTTCGAGGAGCTGATCGACCTCGCGATGGAGCCGCGGTCGATGAAGGCGGCGGTGACGAACGAGAGCGGCGACGCTCCAGCCGACGCCGTCGGCAGCGCGACGACGACGGCACCGCCGCCAAACCCCCCGCTCATCGCCTTCGAGGAGAACGGAGACTCGTTGGCCTGAGGTGCGGCACAACTCGCCCCATCACTTACCCGCCTTTCACCATTAACTCACAAACTATTTTTATTTGACCAGGCGAGGCCACCGAGCTATGTAGCTCTTTGTCAGAAGCGACCTCGCTTTCGCAAATGATAGCTCAGCGAAGCGGCTTATCGTCACCACGTGGACATTTACAGCGGCCAAATGCTCTGAATGCGTGTCGATTCTAAATGCGTGTCGATTCTAAATGTGGAGGGAAAAAACGAAGGACCGGGAGTAAAAACCGCACATCCGCGGGGATGGAGGGAGACACCGTAGGCGTGAGGGTCGGTATCGAACCCACGACCTCCTGTGGGGTCAGCGGCGGGGCTCGTAACGTCGCGCAGTAAACACTCGACCCCTTTCTGTTGCTTTGCTCTTTTCGCGTCCTACCCCACCCCTGTCGCCTAATCGCGCGCCGTTCCGTGTTCGCTTTTCTCTCTCCGTGCGCCACCTTCCCGCTAGGACGGAGGCGAGGAACGGACGATGTCTGCCGACGTTGGAGCCGCCGGCGCTGTCCACCGCTCGCAGGGAACCGGCGTCTCCTGCGCTCGGACACCCACTGTTTATTTTTTTTTTATGCCCCCCGCCCGTTATCGTTTTGAGTGTCGACTGTCACGCTTCATCCTTCGCCACCGCGCCGCAAATCCGTCGCGCGTCGTTTTGCTGCTGGGAAAAATCCATGGACGCGTCACCCGAGTTGTGAATGTAGTTGAAGACGGAAGCAGAGAAGAGCAACGAAAAATAGATTGGGGGTGTGGGGGGGTTGGGGGGGAAACCGTAAATGTAAATGAAAACGATCAGTTTAAAAATAATAATCTGTTTTAAGAAAAGCAGAACTCGAGTAAGTAAGCGGGGAAAAAACGAAAAGGAACACGATTGTAAATATTGTCAATGTAAAATTATTGTAGAAGTTGAATATTCTCTCTTATCTCTGTCGCTCGTGAGGATTTACTTGTGAAGCTGTGTACCACAGTGCTGTATAGCGGGGCTCTCGTCACTCGGGGCTGTTCAGACCAACACTAAACGCGGCCGGGCTGGCCGGCTGTCCCCTCCCTCTCCGCCGCTGGCCGCTTTGCGATCTGCTGCTGCGCGTGGGGCCGTGGGGCCGTCTATCCGCTGGCCGTCTGCGAGCCGTCGTGATGCTCGATGGCGCAAGCGGCGTGCCGTTAGGCGAGCGCGTTGGGTGTGGCTGACGCGCCGCATCAGTTGTCAACCGCCCCGCAACGTTCACCGTCGCCTCTACAACCCCCCCCCTGGTTTTTTGTCCCCCCACTGGCACACCGGAGCCCAGCCAGCACGCAGGGAACAGGGCGGTTTCCCACTGGCTCTTTGCAGAGCCGAGCCAGAACCTGAGCCATACTTTTGAGTTTGACTCGGGGTCAAGCAGCGCCAGGGGCGGACCTAACGACGCATTCACTGTGCGCGTCGTCACCGTGTCATCCCCACGCGTCTCCATGCGTTAATTTCGCGCGCGACGTCGGGTTACACCGAGGACGCCGCGTCCGGGCGCTGTGTCGCACCCCCGACTAGCACGGTTGGCTATGTACGGTGCAAAAGAAGTTCGACGTGCAGACGTCTTCCACTCGTTCACCGCACGTGACGCCGGCGGCACGGCTCTGCTTCTGCAGTGGAAAAATAACCCCCCCGGCGCCTCCCGAGCCATGCCGGGATGGCTCGGCGTGGCCCCAGCACGGCTCGGTTGTGCCAGTGGAAAAGAAGCAGGTGCCACCACCACCGCCCTTCCTGGGTCTGTCTCACAGTCCCACAACCCCCCCCTTCCCCCCCCCCCCCCCCCCCCCACCGCGGGTTTTGCACTTTGAAGACGGAGGTTGAAGATTTACCGCCCTTACGTGTATTTAGGGTAACGTTTTAAGAGTTAGGCTGACGGTTTAGGCTTTGTTGGGAGGTTAGAGTGGAGCGTTAAGGCGTGGGGGGTTTTGGTCGGGTTGATACCGTCAAAGCGAGGAGGGTAGGTGTTGAATATACTCGTTGAGAGTTAACGTTATATTTTTTCGGGGTCATGGAATGTATTTTACAGATGTGGACGGAGTTGCGATTACTTTTTCGAGAAGCTCGCAAGATGAAACATGGTCTCCAACCCTCGTGACACCACCGCCGCCGCGCACCACCGCACTCGCGTCACGCCCCACCGGGGAGGCGTGAGCGCTCGGACGCGATGAGATGGGGGCTGGGGGGGGGGGCAGTGGGGAGTTACGCGTCGGCCAATAACATCGAGGCAGTGTCGTCGCTAATCCCGGTCGTCCGACGATGGTTTTCCGTGCGCTTGACCGACGGAGGTCCGGCGTCACCGCGGTGCCGGCGGGGGATGAATGTGCGCCGTTCCGCACGAGTGACGGATTGAAACCGCTTGCGTCATCGGCGCAATCGCCACCATCACGCTGCTCGTGGAAACGGGCGGCATGGTCTGTCGTCGCGCCGTGATGATGATGCTGTGGTTGGTGTGCACACGCAGACATGCGCGCACACACATGCTCTCGCACGCACGCACTCACGCGCGCCGGTGGAGTGTTGCCGTGAGCCAGGTCGTCATAAATAGCCACCAAACATGGACACTGAGATTTCCAATGTCTGGTGGTGATTCGTTTATCGAGACCGCCTGGTGGTGGCACTCCAGAGCTCCCTCTGTGAGGAGGCCTTTGCGCCAGCAGTGACGCAAGCAATTGCAGGGCTGCGCCTTTAACATTTGTAGGACACTCACGACATTTAAAACGATGAGAAATGAGAGAAAATGCCTCTGCATGCCTCCCACCGTTCTCAGCAGAACTCGTGAAATGTTTTAAATGCTCTCTTCTTCACTTTGTCAAGATATCGGTTAAGGCGGTCTATAAATGGATCACCCGTACGTTATTAGTCAATCGAACCAGCGATTGGATTTCTCGCTGAATATTCAATGGGCATCGACGCGGGCGTGTGGGCCACGTGATATGAGTAGCCACAGCCATCGAAGGCGCGAGAGGTATGGCGAGCGCGATGTGCCGTGCCGGGTTCCCAAGATACATTTGAAATGTAAGTCCCAGACCTAACATTGGGACGTTTTCCATAACCCGTCCTGATTGCCCGCCTTTTGGGGAGAGAGGTAACGATATTATTTATGCTTCGTTTAAATGTATAATTGTTTTCGTCTCGTTGATAACTTGCTAATTATCGTTGTGCTGATGCAGCATTTGAATAACGGGAGGTCCACATGCAGCAACAACAGCAGCAACCATAGGTATCGCCGACGGGGGAACACCTTCGAATAGCTTCGAGACCCAACGACTCTGCCCTCTACGGATGAAATTCTTGGTCGATCGACAAACAATCGATTCGCACGCTTGACGATGACGCGCGGGGTCTTGACGGAACCCCGCGCGTGTCAAGAGTTGTGAGTTGTCTCCGATGCCTCGGATACGCCGCGCGTGATGGGAGACGCTGCTGGGTTGGGGGGGGGGTGCCCGACTCGGGAGCGTGCGACCTGCAAGACGCAATGTCGAACGCCGCAGGGGGGCCGGCAACCAAATTGGCAAGAAGAGCCACGGTTTTTTTTTCCGGACGAATTCGGTGCGCAAAAACTCTAAATGTCAAAGAGCCGCAATGCATGCGAATGCAAACACAGACACGCACCAGGTGTCACGAAGCTGTCTGTAAAGAACTGCACGCGCCTCCAGAGCTGCAGGTTGGCTGAACCCCCCCCCCCCGCACCGGTCTAACGGAGACGGACGACGACGCATCGGTGATGGCGGCGGCGGCGGGTGGGGGCGAAAGCACGAATCGACCCCAGGGGGGCGCCCCCGATCCGTGACCGCGGGGTCGCTTGCGACGCGTTCCGGATCGCCGCCGCCGCTGCCTCTGGGCTCGGTGGCTCCCACGCGCACTCGACGTCTCCTCTCTGTTTAACGCGGACGGAAAGAACAAAATATGGATGCGCGTCTCAAAATCGGTTTCACGACTCGCGTTTCGCCGAATCCTCCTTTGGGACGAGTCTCTACTCGGTTGCCGTTCGAACATCCACCCCCTTCGCCATCCCCTCTCCCCCCTCTCGCCCCTTAATCAGTCGCCACGGCGATGAACGTGCACGCTGTGGGTCACCCCGCGGGTTGGGAGCGCCGTGCTTTTGCGAGCCACGCCGCGTGCCACTTTGCTCCGCGTATTTAGGCAACGGCCAGGTGTGTGCGTGCCAGGGTGTGTGTGTGTGTGCCAGGTGTGTGCGTGTCAGGTGTGTGTGTCAGGTGTGTGTGTGCCAGGTGTGTGCGTGCCAGGTGTGTGCGTGCCAGGTGTGTGTGTGTGTCAGGTGTGTGTGTGCCAGGTGTGTGCGTGCCAGGTGTGTGTGTGTGTCAGGTGTGTGTGTGCCAGGTGTGTGCGTGCCAGGTGTGTGCTTGTGTCAGGTGTGTGTGCGTCAGGTGTGTGCGTGCCAGGTGCGTGTGTGTGTCAGGTGTGTGCGTGCCAGGTGTGTGCGTGCCAGGTGTGTGGTGGTGTGTCAGTGTGTGCGTGCCAGGTGTGTGTGCGTGCCAGGTGTGTGTGTGTGTCAGGTGTGTGCGTGTGTCAAGTGTGTGTGCGTCAGGTGTGTGCGTGCCAGGTGTGTGTGTGTGTCAGGTGTGTGCGTGCCAGGTGTGTGCGTGTGTCAGGTGTGTGTGCGTCAGTTGTGTGCGTGCCAGGTGTGTGTGTGTGTCAGGTGTGTGCGTGCCAGGTGTGTGCGTGCCAGGTGTGTGCGTGCCAGGTGTGTGCGTGCAAGGTGTGTGCGTGCCAGGTGTGTGTGTGCCAGGTGTGTGCGTGCCAGGTGTGTGCGTGCCAGGTGTGTGTCAGGTGTGTGCGTGCCAGGTGTGTGCGTGCCAGGTGTGTGCGTGCCAGGTTGTGTGGTCAGGTGTGGGCCAGTGTGTGCGTGCCAGGTGTGTGCGTGCCAGGTGTGTGCGTGTGTCAGGTGTGTGTGCGTCAGGTGTTTGTGTGAATACGCGTTCAGGTGTGTGTGCACCAGGTGTGTGTGTGCCAGGTGTGTGTGCCAGGTGTGTGTGCAGTGGTGATCCCACGCTGCTTGTACTACGAACCCGCCGACCCGAGTCTTTTTTTTCTCTGATTCTCGCTCACAGCCAACATCGGTGACGAATATCTGAACCGCTCCTGGGCGTCCGCTAGGTCGACTCAGCCATTAAATGAGTACCCGGTGCGGTGTGTAAACAACAGTCGCTGGGGAGACAAAGGCGGTCCGGGTGTGGTACTGGCCCATACCACCTCCTCGTGTACCGTACCAGCCTTCGTTGGTGCTCGCGAAGAGCACTTGCCCCAGCAGTCTGTTAAAGGCTACACGGGGGGGGGCGGACCTTTGTATGTTTATGTGAATATGCGTGAGCGTGTGTGCCCGTTTGGTGTACAGGAGTGTGTCGGTGTGTGAAGGTTTTGTGTTGACGCGCGGCGTATACAATTAAACGTGTTCAGGTGTGTGTAGGCAACAGGTGGTGTGCACCCAGGGGGTGCTGCGAAGGTGTGTGGAGGTACAGGCGTGTAGGGGTGTTTACCCCCTATGCGTGTGTGTGTGTGTGTGTTGTCGCGCCCGTGTGTTTGCTCGGGAGGTCCGTGAAGGAGAGCGTTCCCCACGTGCTCTGTGTGCAGGTTAGACGTATTTTCAGGTGAGCCCAGGTGCTCTCAAATCTCCGTGGACGTGTTCGTATGATTGTGTAGGCTTGTGCGTTTGTGTGTGTGCATGCACGTGTGTGTGTTTATATACGCGATGAGCGGTAGGGCAGTGGTTAGTGAGCTGCGATACGAAAATGGCAACCAGAGTTCAAAACCGCGTGTCACGACCAATAAGTGGCGAATATTTGAACCGGTCCCTGGGGTCTCTTCGGTCTTTCGACTCGGCTTTGAATGACTTGCCCTGGTCCGCGCTGTGTAACTAGCAGCACTGGGGAGACAAAGGCGGCCGGGAAAGCGTGGTGCTGGCCACGCCATCCTCTCGCGTGCCGTGCCGGCATTCATACATGGGGTGTGCTCGTTCACAGCACGTACCCGAAACGGTCTGTTGAAAGGCGACACGGGGCTTAGGTGTGTGTCTCTCTCGCACGTTTGCCGGAAGGCGAAAATATTGGCTACAACTGGAAATGCAAATCCCTGTATCGCGGTGGTCAGGGGTTATCTGCTATGTGTTGTACTGTGTGTGTGTTTCTTGTTGTTACATGTACACACACGCGCGCACACGCGCACACGTGCACAATGTGCAGGACTTTAAATTTCTCACTGGATATTTGTGTTGTTGTTACCCGACCACTGGCTGTATATTCCCCGATGTCACGGGGTAGCCACGAGCACAGCGAGAGAGAGAGAGGGGCTATACTGGACGTGGTCGACGCGCCGTGCGCGGGGAAATGTGTGTTCGGTTTCTCGACCCAGACAGACCCGGCTGAGATGTTGAGTCCTGCATTACAGTGTTGGAAAATGGGAATTTTTTTTTGTTTTTTGTTTTAAATCACTTGATAAATACATACGTACATATCATTCGTCGCACGTAATATAGATATTTAAAGTTAGGAGAGAACGCATACATGCATTAAAAACAGCACGAATACATCGGTTAAGTACAGTCCAGACGTGTTGGGGCGAGTGCTATGAGCGGGCAGAAGAGGCTATGAAGGCCGGCACGCCATACAACGAGCTGGTGGTCAGCACCACGCCTCCCGGCCGCCTTTGTCTCCCCAGTGCTGATTTTTTTTTTACGCCGCACCAGGTGCTCATTTGAAGTTGGTTAGACCTAGGGGAGACTCCAGACCAATATGTGCTGTTGATGTGCATAAGCGTCGGTGTGTAATGTGTGGGGTAGCTGCAGTGTAGTGGTTTGCGCACTGCACTACGAACCTGGCGACCCGAGTTCGATTTCCGCCGTCAGGGCCAACAACGGCGACGATTATCTTAGCCGGTCGTGGGCCCTTCCCGAGATCAACTTGCCCTCAAATGAGTACCTGGTGCGATGCATAAACATAGCCACTATAGCCACTTAGGGAGACAAAGGCGACCGGGCGTGGTGTTGACCCCCCCTCCCCCCTCGTGTGGCGTTCAGGCCTTTATCGGTGCTACTCGCTAACAGCACTTTTCCCCAACAGTCTGCTAAGGCTACACGGGGGGGTCTTTGTTTATGTGTGTAAGTGAGTTCTCGGTTTTAGCGTTAAATACGCTGGGGGGGGGGGGGGGGGTGACACTGTAACCCAAAGATAATCTAAACGATGCGTCGATTCATCGTTTAACATCCACGCGATACGTGTACATAACACGCGTTAAGATAAAAAAATATATACAAGTTGGATATAAAAAAAACACTCAGCGGTTCACGCCACGGATGGGTTGACGAAACGACCCACTTGCTGTACTTGCCATCTCATTAACCGTCGTTAATCGTTGATGGATTTAAAATCACAACGGCGATTAAATGAACTCCCATCGGGCATTCGCGCCCTGAAACGACAACGCGTTGTGATGAGTCGAGCGATATTGGTAACCGGCAGTGATCGATTTCTGCCGATTTGTCTGAACTCTCAAATGTTTCTTTTTATTTTCCCCAGGTAAGGCCCCACTGAGCTATCTGCTGTAGCTCTCTTTTTTTCAGAAGCGAACTGGCCACAACTAATAGCTGGACGAAGTGGCTCATCGTGTAGCAATGTATAGCAGCCAGAGATGCTCTAAGCGCACGTTGATTCTAAACGTGGAGGGGGAAAACCGGAGGACCCGACGAAAAATCCACGCGACCACGGGGAGAGAGAGAGAGAGGGACACGCAAACCTCAAAATATACAGCGGGCGTCAGGGTCTGGAATCGCTGAAACCAACGACCTCCTGCATAACCAGGCGAGGTAGTTAACATTCTCGCCGCCCGTGTAGCCATCATTTGTCGTGAACGGTTCGAGACGACGTCCCTCCCGATGCGAGCCTCTTCCCCGCCGTGAACGCGTGACGCGGAGTAGGACTTCGCGTCTCGTTGCTGCAATAGCGGAGAGTAACGAGATTCTGCGGCTCCCACTCGCCGAGCATTTACCGATCTCTCTCTCTCTCCGTCTCGTGGTGGTTCAATGTTCTTGTTGCCGCGTTAGACTTGTAGTAGAAGTGAGTTGCCTCTATCGGAGGAGGGGAGGAGGTTGGTTAATTCATTATTATGATCGTTGTTGTTGTGGTCGTATGGCAGTGATGAAGGCTCGTTACAGAGCCTGCCTTTTGCTCGCTTGGTCGTGGCGAGTGTGCACGTGTGTGCGTGTGTTACAGACGAGTTATCGAACACGTTAACTAACCAACACGCCAAGACAACGTAACTAACGAGACAAAACCTGCAACGTCTGTATGTAATAATAAAAGTGTACATGTTTGCGCCCACACTCTTAAATGCCCATATTTCCCCCCCCTCCTATCCCCCCCCCCACCACCTTTGTATCTATACCTCATTTTTTTGCTTTCATTTTTACGTAGCTTGCTGTCTGACACTTCTAAACGCTGCAAGGATTTGACAATACTGAACTGTTAAACAAAATCTATAAACGACAATAATGATGACACGTGGGAGGTCACCGAGTGCTGCGATTGGGGGTAACACCAACCCACACGGTGCTTCGGCACACGACAAGAAGATGCGTTGGGGGTCCTGCCCCGAACCACCCCCCCATGCCCCCCACAGCTCCCTGTGCCCCCCCCCCTCGCCTCGGTTCGTGTTCCCGACGACGATGACAACACGCGTGCGTCGCTGGGAGCACGCGCCGTTGTCGAGGCTCGAGTCGAGTCCGTCACGCGGGCTCCCGACTCCCGATTTTGACCCTTACGATGGCAAACACCCGAACCACAACCACCCCTCGCCCCACCAACTTCGTCGGGTAGAGCTGTAGGACATGGGCAACAGACTGCTGGGGGGGAGGGGCGGTAATCGAGCAGAAGGAAGGAAGGGAAAGTCGCTGGCGAATTAACACCGCGCGTTTTGATCATCGCCGTCGACCGTTCATTGTGACGTCCATCCATCCACCTCCATCTTTCGGCACGTGCTCGCCCGCAGAGGACGTCACAGCGGGTGCATGGATGTCCCCCCCTCCCTCCGCCTTCCCAAGCTGGTTGTGAAGCGCACACGTGTGCACGTGGCATGTGCGTCCTGTGGTGAATTTAAAAAAAACGCTGGCGAATTGCCACCCGTCGTCTTTGTGGCTCGACGGGTGTGCGGGCGAGTAACGCGCTCCGTAGTTGAATTAACGCGCTCGCTTCTTCGAGGACTTGCTGCTGCTGCTGGCTTGCGTTTAGTTAATTGTCTCGTCGTTTAAATAGCGCGGCGCCCGCCCGCGACTGTCGTTTGCGCGTGACGTGAATTCGTGACGGCATGGAACCCCCCCCGGCCCACTGCACGGGAACACGCACGTGCACGAAGACACGCGTAATGTTGATAATACGAATAATAACACCAATAAATAAAAAGACTGTCCCAAACTGCTGTTGCTGTGAGTGTGTGATGCGAGCGGGGACCGTCTGTGATGTGACGTTGGCGCTACGATTGGGGAGAAGACACGGTCGCACTTTTGTTGGGCCGATTTACAGCTGTGGGAAAAGGGGATCTCAGACGGAGCTCTGTGATATCCGCTTCCGCGCACCCTTGTAGGGGTGCACGGACTGCCCTGCGCTGCGAGAGTTGTAGGCTTTTAGTTTCGTCGACACAAGCGTACGAGCATAAATAGTATTAAAGAAACATCTCACGTGTGACCGTGGTCACACTATAAATCATGAAGTAGCGCGTGGATTTGCTGAAGCCTTGCGTGCGGACGTGTGAGCGTTATCCTCTCTCTTGTGGCCTCCTTGCGGTGCGGTTTCCTCCCACGTGCAAAACGTCAGTTCAATATTGACTAAAGGTCCATATTAACCACTGCACTATGTGTAGGTATATACTGGTAGGAACCTCCTGGTTACACCAGCCCACAGGGGATTATTGTGTCCGTCGTGCAGGGAGGGGCTGGGTGGGGAGGGGAGGGTGGGGCTGGGTGGGGAAGGGAGTGACTGGCCACCCCTTGGTGCCCTTATAAAACTCAACGTTTAACCAACTCACGCCGGCTTGTGCCCGCCCTCACAGTCGGGCATATTTGCGGAATACACCACGCCGCCGTTGACCCTGGCCATTGACCGAGCAACCCAACGTTCCTACCAGCTCCCTCCGCAGGAATGTGTTAAATACAGAAACACAACGTACCCAGGACCCTGCCAAGGGTGATGATTGCGAACGAGCGTGGCATTGTCTGAACTATCCCCTTGCTGTGGATTGTAATTTTTCGTTTCTATTTAATGAGCGTTCTGCGCACGCAATTTAGAGTTGAACTATTGCAACAAAACCCCCAATGCCTCGCTACCCCCCCGCCCCCCACGGTTGGGGAATTACAGGGCACGTGGCACGCGAAGCGATGAAACGCCACTGCTGCCCCCCGCCCGTCCTCCGTGTATCACACGTTGGGTTTTTATTTAATGATTAAACATCTTTCTGGGGTGTTTTTAGTTTTCTCTCAATGCATTTCAAATTGCGCTGTTGGCATCGTTGCCGGATGGCGGCGGCTAAGCTGCACGCGGCTGCCTGTACTCCAGCACTGTTGCTGCAACGAGGGTTGGTGGGTCACACACAGACATGCTGTGAAACTCCCTGGGCTCGCCAGGAAAAGGAGGGACAGAGAGTGGACTGATATCCATCTGTTTCCATCTGTACGGGGATCGAGTGTTGCCCCCTCCCCTCGCGCGCAAGGCGTGGGTTTCCTTCGGGTGCTCCGGTTTCCTCCTACACAGGTGAATAATAAACACGACTCGTCATTCGTAGGCTGAAAACATCTTAAAATATGAAAAAATTAACCCTCGTGAAATATATTTCTGGTACTTGGCGTAGCTGTCCTAGAAAAATACGCAAATGATATTATTGTGATGTCCCATTGCGAGTCGTGACATCACCGCCTGTTGGAGAACAGGCCAGTGGAAGGTGACACCGCAGAACTACTTCTGAGGCCTCGGCAATTAAACTATGAACTATAGTTTATTTGACCAGGTAATGCCCACTGAGCTACGTAGCGACCTCGCCACAAATGATGACCCAGCGAAGTGGCTCATCGTCGTGCTGGAAATGCATAGCAGACAAACAACTCGAAACGCGCGTTTATTAATGTGGAGAGGAAGGAAAAAAACGAGAAAAATCCACGCGACCACGGGGAGAGAGAGAGACAGGCAAACTCCAAATAGACAGTAGCAGGCGTCAAGGCCGAGATCGAAACCCACGATCTCTCCTTGCATACCAGGCGGGGCAATTCGCATGTCCGAGCCACCGCTGCGGCTCCCACTTACTTGCCCCCCCCCCCCCCCCTGCAGCTTGCCACCGCTGCCACTGCGGATGGAGCGAGCGAGAGAGTCGTGCTGTGCGGTGTGGCACGAGACAAAGCGATGGGGTGGTGGTGGTGGTGGTGATGGCGTGGTGGGAGAATTTCGCTCGGCAGTGTCGATTGGAAAATCCAAATATAAACGCCACGTGCCGAAGAGGAGGAGGCCTCACAACTGTGCGTGTGGCACATGCGGGTGCTGTGTGTGTGTGCGTGTTGTGGGTGTGTGTGTGGGGAGCGGCAGTGCTGTGGTTAGCGCAACGCTGCGCTAAGAACCACGGCAACCCGAGTTCGATTCCCGCTCACGGTCCTGGGCCTACCCTAGGTGGACTCGGCCTCAAATGAGTACCTGGTGCGGTGTGTAAACATAGCCGCGAGGGAGGAACCTCCTGGTTACACCAGCCCACAGGGGGTTATTGTGTCCGTCCGTCATGCAGGGAGGGGCTGGGTGGGGAGGGAGGGGCTGGGTGGGGAGGGTGGGGAGGGTGGGGAGGGGCTGGGTGGGGAGGGTGGGGCTTGGTGGGGGGGAGTGGCTGGTCACCCCTTGGTGCCCTTATAAAACTCAACGTTTAAGCTACTCACGCCGGCTTGTGCCCACCCTCACAGTCGGCCATATTTGCGGAATACACCACGCCGCCGTTGACCCTGGCCATTGACCGAGCAACCCAACGTTCCTACCAGCTCCCCACGCAGGAATGTGTTAAAGGGGCCGTAAATAAATAAATAAACATTTAAACTAATTTTTACTTGCACAGTAAAGTAATTGTATTTTCTCATTTGCTATACGGCCAGATAATACGACAAATCGCTAACCTTAAACACCCAGTCATTCATTAAACTTGAAGGCGGTATAGTACTATAGTAATAGAGCAAGTGCAGAATCACTGAAGCGGAATTGTTAGCTTGAAAGCATTTAGCGCGGGGGCCCTTGAATGTGTGGGGCCCGTAGCTACACGTGTAGCTACTTGTGCTACGAGTATTATTCGTCACTGGGCACAATGCACGCACACAGACGACACTGCTGTGGATAAATGTCAGACATGACCCAATGTGCTTGGAATGTATGCAATTTAATTCATACGCACACAGAGATAAGACAAAGACAGTGATCCCCCGTACAGCCTGAGCAGACCGTCGGAGCAAGTGCTGTTAGCGAGCACCTATGAAGACCGTAACGGCTCTCACCTTTGTCTCTAGTGCAGCGGTCGGGAACCTATGGCTCGCGAGCCATATATGGCTCTTCCGGTGACGGCATATGGCTCCCAGACAATTTTGAGTTGGAATAAAAAAAACGAAAAATCAGTTTGGAACTGATTTTAAAATACTTGTGATATTGTTTAATACTACTGTGTCATTTAAAAGTAAACAGAAATTAGTTTTGAAGATACATTTCACGGGTCACGCCTGCTTGAAGCTCAACCTCACCACGTATGAACCAGACTACAAGGCCATCAGCAAAACCATGCAGCACCAGAAGTCGCATTAAAAGTAAGACATATTTCATGTATTATACGTTAAAAATACGTTATGGCACTCAATGAAATATATTTAGAAATATTTAGCTTTTATGGCTCTCCCAGTCAAAAAGGTTCCTGACCCCTGCTCTAGTGACAATGTTCACACACACCGCACCAGGTTCTCATTTAAGGCTGACTCCACCTAGGGAAAGGCCTAGGACCAGTTCAGAATCGTCACTTGACGCGTTGGTCTTGAGCGGCGATCGAAACTCGGCTCGCCGGGTCTGTAGCGCTGCGCCCTAATGCACGACACTACCGCTCCCCCGCCACAGACATGCGCCACAGGCACGCCCCGGTGAATCTTCGACAGGCTGTCGACAAAACGCGGGGGATGTGGGTGCCTCGCCCCGGCTCTCAAGGCCGGCGTGAGTCCACAAAGGCTGCGGCGTGGATACCGTGCAGGAGTAATGCTGACCCCCCCCCCCCCCCCCCCATACGTATTGTACGTCATTAAGAAGCGCAGCGCAGCGGTTTGATGAA